GCCAAGGTCAGGTACCAGGTGGGAATCAGAGCAGACGTAGTCAGATGGGATAGCCGAGGTCATACACAGAGGAGAGAGAGAGGGTATCCATAAGCCAAGCCGAGGTCAAATCAGGGGTAAAGCAGAGTAGACAGGTCCAGGAGCAAGCCGGGTCGGTAACAGGAAATCCCAGCTCAGAATCACAGGAAACAGGAACAGGGCACGGGGAGCTAGAGATCATCCAGCAACTTGAGGAAGTGATGAGCCTCCTTATAAGGGCCATCTGGCACCAGACTGAGGCTGATGTGTCCTTCAGGGTACTGGCAGAAATGCCAGATCTTCCAGAACTTCTGCTGTGGACAGGACCCTGACAACAATAATGTGAACAGGGCTACAGATGGATGGGAGGTAGCAGTAACATAGATACAAGTTTACCGGAAAGACATTGAGAGAAGTCAGTCTGTATTCATTTTAAGGTGGATGGGAAGCAGCAGTAACATAGATGTAAGTTTACCAGTGAAGGGAGAAAAGAGATTTTCATATGAGCAAGAGTGGACGTGCCACTTAATTAACGAACCCCATTTTATAGGAAAAACCCCAACATGTGCCACCCTAACATGTGTCCCCCTAGCATGATACAGTCAGTTCTCGGAGTCTCTCTGCCTCCCAACCCCTCAGAGGCCTTGCTACACAAACCAATCTTGTCCTTATCAAGGAACCAGAGGAGGCTAGTGAGATTTGTGTTCCTGGCTTCCCCACAAACCCTCACTCAAGCTTGGAGACAGCCTTTCCTTAATATTGCTGAAGTAAAACAGAGACTCATGGGTATTATGGTGCGTGAGAAGCCTACATCTATCCTAGAAGACATGCACACCCAGTACCTTAAGGTCTGGAGTCCCTGGATTGGTTATGACGCTAAGATGAATATAGATCATAACCTGCTCTTTTTGTGACTCTTCTTGGTTACCAGTAATGATGCCCCCCCAGTTGGACCACAAGGGTTCCCTCTCCACCCCTCTCTTCAATCCCTCTACTCTCAGGCAGGTCTCCTCATCTTTCCCTGTTTCTAACTCTTCCAAAGCCCTTCACACAGAGATGGGCGAACCAATTTCTCCCTATCCCAACCCACATCTCTGGCTTTGGTGGTTGCAAGAGCTGGTAAACCGTTTTTTTCACCATCCAACAAGGCACCCCTTATAGTTAGAACATTCTTAATTTTTATAAATATATAATAAAATAAAAACAATTTGTGGATTCACTGTTTTATCGGAAACGCCGAGAGACTTGGCTGCTGACATTACTAGGTCTGTGTAACATTGTCATCGTTGAGTCTGGTATTGCTGTCAGGTTTGTTGTAAATCATTTTCATTGAGTCCAGTGTCGCTACTTGCATCACCAGAACTGGGGGGGAGATAATCATTGCCAAATCTTGTGTTGCGTTTGATGCCATTGAGTCCAGACAAAGAGTGGGAGGAGGTGAAATATCAATTTGTTTTGGGTTTTGAGAGGCAACTTTCTGACTACTGCTTAAGGGGACCATATTACCTGTTTGGTTTTGTGGGACTGGCTTGATTTTGAGCACTCCAGCACCAGAACTTTGGGCTTCAATGATCTCCAATACACTGGCCAGTGCAAAGGGTTTGCAAGAGATGGACCTCTAGTTCTTGGCACCACCCCTTAGTTAGAACCTTGTTGATTTATGCATTATTGGCACTTGTTTTGTGCACTTGTTAACTGTTTTCCCATTTTGGTCATTATTTTACTTTGTGTGTTGCACAAATAAATATTCCTTCTTTAGCTTCGGTGTGTGGTAGAGTGTGGTCCTGCCCAGAAACAACGAGAACAGGGGACCAAGAAACAGCGGCTTCTCAGGGGCAATCTCTGCATATACAGAGACAGCTATAAAATCTCAGCTATAGCAGTTGTTTTTAATGAATGGATAGTCTGCATTCCCCTTGGTGTCACTAATCTTAAGTGAATGGAGAAATGGAGAGGCAGTATTCACATTGGTGTCATTGGTCCCTAGTGATTGGAGAGGTTGCATTCTTAGTGATCCCATCTAGTGCAGATCCATTTAGTATCTGCTTACCTGAGTTTGTTGTTTGACCCTCCCAAAATGCATTGAAATGTTTCTGGTATGAATCAGTTTCATCATTAGAACCCTTGGACTCTTGGATTTTGTGGCACTTTCATTCTATTGTATTTATGTGAGTTCGTACGAATGTCATTCTTAGTGTGTAGATTGACTTCACAGTATTTCCTCTGATGACTTGTCAAATGAAAGCTCCCACTGGAAAGGAAAATAAATTCTCTCTAAACGTATCTGTTAATCAATAAAGAACCGCACACCAACATGAAAAGGCTTATCGAACATAATGTCGGGTCTTACAATCCATGGCAATGGCGCTTGTGTGCTATTCCACACAGATGGTAACAGATTGGAATGGATTTCACGGGACTCCAATGGGCATTAAAATAGGAACTTCTTTATTAAAATTTGATGCACTTCAGAGCAAACCTCGATCCCACTGCAGGGGTATAGGAAACAGAAGTCAACACACAACTAATCTCATGGGTTTAAGAACATGCCCAGTGGCTAATTACAACTGATGATCCAAGTGTTGCTACTTCCATTAACCCCATCATTGCCTTCTATCTTCTACAGCAAAAACATCTAGAAGCATGCTTGAAATTTTACAATGATTCAGGTTAAAATAACTTATGTCAGAGTAAAGTACAGTCCAGATAATAACTGAGTAATCTCAGAGGTAACAGGTTTTTGAGGGTACACATATTAACAAATGAATCACGTACTTGTACAAGTGGTTATATCGGGGTTATGGCTGCAGCTGTCAGCCATTCCCTGGTCTTGTTTGTGCTGAAGACTGCCCTGGACTGACTGGTTGAGTCACTGGTCGTAGGTAAGTGGTTGCATGGGTGGGTAAGGAGGTGTCCCTCCAGTCAGTTGTACCCAATGGTGGATATTGGCGGTAAACCCTCTTAGGGTTTGGGCTGCTGCCTTTATGGTATGGCCTTGAGGTCGTTTACACACATATACTTAGGATAATAGAAAAGAAGGAGATGTCCGAAAGAATGAACTTTTGATGGTAGAGTAAGAGGCATTTATTGAGAGTAACGAAAAGTACATCAAGCCAACGCATTTCGGGAGAAAAGACTCTCCCTTCTTCAGGGCTGTTAAATGGGAAAACTTCCCACATCGGGGCTGCCACTGGAATGACAGCTGTCACTCTGTCATTTTTTCCTCCAAAACCTGGAAATTATATAACCGATGTGGGAATTGTTTCTCAGTTCCATTGGGCGTCCCATACACCCCTTACCCCATTCAAATTGAAATTCTCCTAATAAAATTAAAAAATCCAAGCTCAATGATTGGTTACTGACTCCTGGATGCAAGTCTGTGAAAAATGTGTGTTGCCTTACTGTGCAGGACTATAGGGAGACCCAAATACTCAGCAACTCCTTAGGGGGTAGTGCTACATACATAAAAACAAAATTGACAGAATGTGCCTGGTCTGCTAGTAGTTATAGAGGACAGGGCTGGGGTTAGGGGACAGGCCTGGTGTGGGGTTGGAGGCAGATCTGGGCAAGGTTTGGTGGGGCAACTGGTAGAGAGTAAGGTTTTTGCCTGGCTAGTAGTTCTAGACTTGAAATTTTAAGCCCTGGTCTACATGAAGGGAATTATTACTAAAACAAAATCTGGTGCAGCTCTGCATACAAACCAATCAGCTTCCAGGTTTAATTGCCAAAACTTAATTGAACCAGCTGAAGTTGGAAGCTGATTGGCTCCCATGCACAGCTGCACCAGATTCTGAGTGCTCCAGTTTTAATAAATTGCCCCTGAAGTGTCTTAACAAAGTGGGAGTTCCAGCCATTTTTGTGTTTATTAAAAGTCAGCAGCTACAAAAGCTGTATCTGCTGGCTTTTAATAAACACACTCTTATCTGTCCCGGGATCCAGCGATGTTCTCACCCGCGCCGTCCCTTCTCTCCTTCTGTCCACCACGGCTCTGGCATCTCTACTGTGGGCACCAGGCATTGACAGTTTGCGCCTTCACAGCCTGGTGCCCACTGCACATGCACGGGTCGCGCCACGCTTCCCGATTGGTCCGGAAGTCTCCTGGGACCTGTGAAAGTTCCCAGGAGACTCGCGGGAGCAAGGAGGGGACCAAACTTCCCGGTTACTTTGCTGCAGCTAACTGAGCCAGAAGTGGGAGCGGATACCTGTCAAAACCAGATACCCGCTCCCGCCCAAAAGGCAGTGGAGGGGGGGGGGGGAGGCTAAATAAGCAGAGCTTCCACTTTTGAGTGTAACTCTGCTTTAAATATAGAGCAAAGCATTAAAACGAAACAAATGACTATTAAACATTTGGTAACAATGTAACCATAAGGAGATCTGTTAAACCACGAGAGTAACAAACTCAAATCTGAATGTTTTACAGGAGGCCTGATGATATTATTTATGTATATATTCATATACTAAAACTTTTACCTTCACAAGTGAACGCAACCTTAACCTCCCTGGCGGTCTGAATATGTCAATATTTTTGAATGTCAAAGCAGTACATTGTTTTGCATGGAAATTTGTTGTTTTATATTGTAGGCCTGATATTCTTAGGAATAACTCACTGAAATCTGTCCAAACAAGAGTCTAGTAAACATCCCGGGGATGATAAAGCTTGAAACACGAAATCATAAATAATAATATAATAATAATAAATGTAATTCAATAATATAATCAAACCAAAAACACTGAAATGTGAAATATAGCGCCAAGTTCGCACATCGCTGAGCAAAGTCGTCGCAGAATCGTTTTCAGTGTCTGATGAGGAATTTCCCCCACCAATCATTATCACTCAATTCTGCAAGTGGTTCTGATTTACTATCGCTGTTCTCTAGCCGGTCTAAAACCGCTTTTGACCTAAATGGACGCTTTTTGGACGCCATGGACGTTTCTCAGTTTCCAGGCAGAAAGAACGGTAAAAGTGCAGGCAGGGCGCCGGACAAAGCACTCGGGACAAAATGTATGTGAAATGGTTTGCAGAGGCAGACTGACCATTTGGAAACTCTGGCACTGCCCGAGGGCCCGGGGTCAGTAGGGGGCCCCATGAGATGCCCCTGGTATCTTTTTCATAGGCTTTTTTGTGTTTGGGCAAGGACACAGGGGCCCCATGATCCCCTATTGCCCGGGGGCCCCATGAGTTGTCAGTCCGCCCCTGATGGTTTGATACAGTAAAGTCATCCTAACAGATTACAATGTATTGTGTGTATGTCATGTTTTTACTTTTTTGAATCTCCCCGACGATCGCAGGGAAGGGAACCTGGAAGATGGATGCTGGCATCAGCTGGCGGACACAGTAGAAGGACATCAGGGGATAGCAAGACAAGGTAATTATCGGGGGATCGCAGGACAAGGTAGGGATTGGGGGATCACAGGACAAGGGTAAGGATTGGGGGATCGCAGGACAAGGTAAGGATCAGGGGATCACAGGACAAGGTACGGATCGGGGGATCGCAGGACAAGGTAGGGATCGGGGATCGCAGGACAAGGACTACAGTGTCATCCTGAGTGTAGCTCGGGGTTACCGCTTTTGGTACTGTAAATTAACCCTGAGCCACACTCGGGATTACCGCTAGGAAGGTTAAAGGACCATTTTGAGCCAGTTTATTGCTAGCTAATATGGAGGAAGATTTTGCTCTCTTTTTTACTGGGGTTTTCATCATCATCATTGGAAGCCCAGTGACTGGATTGTTAGTGATGGTGCTGGCCTTTTTTGAATCGATAATCTAAACTCTCAGTATTATTTCTGGTCTATAGTTTATGGATAGGCTGCGTTCTCAGTAATTTCCCATTTAGATTACATTTTCAGTGATGTCACTAATAGGTGGTTAATGTGTAGGCTTCGTCTTCAGTTATGTCATTAGTATGTAATGAATAAATGGGCTGTGTCATCAGTGATATCCATAACATGTAGAAAATGGATGGGCTACATCCCCAGTGATATCACTACTATATACTTAATCGACAGGTTGCATCATCAGTGATGTCATGCATATGTAGTATATGGATAGGCTGTTTAATTAATGATGTCATGCATATATAGTACATGGATAGGCTGCATCATCAGTGATGTCATGCATATGTAGTACATGGATAGGCTGTATAATCAGTATCAGTGATGTCATGCATATGTAGTACATGGATAGGCTGTATAATCAGTGATGTCATGCATATGTAGTATATGGATAGGCTGTATAATCAGTGATGTCATTTGTATATAGTAAATGGATAGGCTGTTTAATTAATGATGTCATGCATATATAGTACATGGATAGGCTGCATCATCAGTGATGTCATGCATATGTAGTACATGGATAGGCTGTATAATCAGTATCAGTGATGTCATGCATATGTAGTACATGGATAGGCTGTATAATCAGTGATGTCATGCATATGTAGTAAATGGATAGGCTGTATAATCACTGATGTCATTTGTATGTAGTAAATGGATAAGCTGTTTAATTAATGATGTCATGCATATATAGTACATGGATAGGCTGCATCATAAGTGATGTCATGCATATGTAATACATGGATAGGTTGTATAATCAGTGATGTCATTTGTATGTAGTAAATGGATAGGCTGCATCATCAGTGATATCATTTGTATGTAGTAAATGGATAGGCTGTATAATCAGTGATGTCGTTTGTATGTAGTAAATGGATAGGCTGCATCATCAATGATGTCAGGCATATGTAACACATGGATAGACTGTATAATCAGTGATGTCATGCATATGTAGTAAATGGATAGGCTGTATAATCAGTGATGTCATTTGTATATAGTAAATGGATAACCTGTTTAATTAATGATGTCATGCATATTTAGTACATGGATAGGTTGCATCATCAGTGATGTCATGCATATGTAGTCCATGGATAGGTTGTATAATCAGTGATGTCATGCATATGTAGTCCATGGATAGGTTGTATAATCAGTGATGTCATGCATATGTAGTCCATGGATAGGTTGTATAATCAGTGATGTCATTTGTATGTAGTAAATGGATAGGCTGCATCATCGGTGATGTCATTTGTATGTAGTAAATGGATAGGCTGCATCATCAGTGATGTCAGGCATATGTAACACATGGATAGGCTGCATCATCATCAGTGATGTCATTTGTATGTAGTACATGAATAGGCTGTACAATTAGTGATGTCATTTGTATGTAGTAAATGGATAGGCTGCATCATCAGTGATGTAATTTGTATGTAGTAAATGGATAGGCTGCATCATCAGTGATGTAATTTGTATGTAGTAAATGGATATAGGCTGCATCATCAATGATGTCAGGCATATGTAACACATGGATAGGCTGCATCATCAGTGATGTCAAACATATGTAGTACATGGATAGGCTGTACAATTAGTGATGTCATTTGTATGTAGTAAGCTGATAGACTGCGTTCTCAGTGATGTCATTTCTATGTAGTAAATGGATAGGTTGTATAATGAGTGATGTCATGAATATGTAGTATATGGATAGGTTGTATCATCAGTGATGTCATTAGCATGTACAGGGCCACTGATAAGACAGTACAGCCGGACCTCAACCGAGTATGTGGTAAGAGATCGCTCAGTTAATAAAATACCACATGAGTTCTATTATGAAGTCATTATGGAGTTATCCTATATTCCCAGTGACGCTACTGGTGGTCTACATTAGATAAATAAGCAATTTCTGAATTTCTGACAAATAATATTCCATTTTTTTTTACTATAGCACAAAATGATAATTTCAGCCATGTTTAAAGGTCTCCCATTCATTCCTTTCAAAGCATTCCCTCTATGTATCTACCAACATTTGCAAGGGGGGGCCTGTTAGGTAGGCTGTATGGGACCCCATGATTTCTATCAGCAGCCCTGGGTATGTAGTAAATGGATAGGCAGTGATGTCACCAGTATGTAAATATGATGTCATGCATATGTAGTACATGGATAGGCTGTATAATCAGTGATGTCATTTGTATGTACTAAATGGATAGGCTGCATCATCAGTGATGTCATTTGTATGTACTAAATGGATAGGCTGCATCATCAGTGATGTCATTTGTATGTACTAAATGGATAGGCTGCATCATCAGTGATGTCATTTGTATGTAGTAAATGGATAGGCTGCATCATCAGTGATGTCATGCATATGTAGTACATGGATAAGCTGTATAATCAGTGACGTCAGTTGTATGTAGTAAATGGATAGGCTGCACCATCAGTGACGTCATTTGTATGTAGTAAATGGATAGGCTGCATCATCAGTAATGTCATGCATATGTAGTACATGGATAGGCTGTATAATCAGTGATGTCATTTGTATGTAGTAAATGGATAGGCTGCATCATCAGTGATGTCATGCATATGTAGTACATGGATAGGCTGCATCATCAGTGTGATGTCATGCATATGTAGTACATGGATAGGCTGTATAATCAGCGATGTCATGCATATGTAGTACATGGATAAGCTGTATAATCAGTGACGTCAGTTGTATGTAGTAAATGGATAGGCTGCATCATCAGTGACGTCGTCATTTGTATGTAGTAAATGGATAGGCTGCATCATCAGTAATGTCATGCATATATATAGTACATGGATAGGCTGTATAATCAGTGATGTCATTTGTATGTAGTAAATGGATAGGCTGCATTCTCAGTGATGTCATGCATATGTAGTACATGGATAGGCTGCATCATCAGTGATGTCATTTGTATAGTAAAATGGATAGGCTGTATTATCAGTGATGTCATGAATATGTAGTATATGGATAGGTTGTATCATCAGTGATGTCATTAGCATGTACAGGGCCACTGATAAGACAGTACAGCCGGACCTCCTGCACTGGGCCCGGGCCCCATCTATTCAAAAGGGAGCCTGGGCACTAGAGACAGGCCAAACACCCCCGTTTGATTCACGGTCGAACATCCGAACCTACAGAGTGTTTGACCGTGAACTTCAAATACGAACCGAACAACTGAGCGTTATCGTAGTGCAACCGAGTATGTGGTAAGAGATCGCTCAGTTACTAAAATACCACATGAGTTCTATTATGAAGTCATTATGGAGTTATCCTATATTCCCAGTGACGCTACTGGTGGTCTACATTAGATAAATAAGCAATTTCTGAATTTCTGACAAATAATATTTTCATTTTTTTTTTTACTATAGCACAAAATGATAATTTCAGCCATGTTTAAAGGTCTCCCATTCATTCCTTTGAAAGCATTCCCTCTATGTATCTACCAACATTTTCAAGGGGGGAGAATGTTAGGTAGGCTGTATGGGACCCCATGATTTCTATCAGCAGCCCTTGGTATATAGTAAATGGATAGGCAGTGATGTCACCAGTATGTAAATATGATGTCATGCATATGTAGTACATGGATAGGCTGTATAATCAGTGATGTCATTTGTATGTACTAAATGGATAGGCTGCATCATCAGTGATGTCATTTGTATGTACTAAATGGATAGGCTGCATCATCAGTGATGTCATTTGTATGTATTAAATGGATAGGCTGCATCATCAGTGATGTCATGCATATGTAGTACATGGATAGGCTGTATAATCAGCGATGTCATGCATATGTAGTACATGGATAAGCTGTATAATCAGTGACGTCAGTTGTATGTAGTAAATGGATAGGCTGCATCATCAGTGACGTCATTTGTATGTAGTAAAATGGATAGGCTGCATCATCAGTAATGTCATGCATATGTAGTACATGGATAGGCTGTATAATCAGTGACGTCATTTGTATGTAGTAAATGGATAGGCTGCATCATCAGTGATGTCATGCATATGTAGTACATGGATAGGCTGTATAATCAGTGATGTCATTTGTATGTAGTAAATGGATAGGCTGCATCATCAGTGATGTCATTTGTATGTAGTAAATGGATAGGCTGTTTAATCAGTGATGTCATGCATATGTAGTACATGGATAGGCTGCATCATCAGTGATGTCATTAGGGAACCTACAGAGTGTTTGACCGTGAACTTCAAATACGAACCGAACAACTGAGCGTTATCGTAGTGCAACCGAGTATGTGGTAAGAGATCGCTCAGTTACTAAAATACCACATGAGTTCTATTAGTCATTATGGAGTTATCCTATATTCCCAGTGACGCTACTGGTGGTCTACATTAGATAAATAAGCAATTTCTGAATT